TCCAGATTTTCAACAACATAGAGCCGACCTAAACCGGAAAAGTTCTCCCTTTGCCTTGTGAGCTGCGATTTCACATTGGTTGCCCCAACTGACATCCAAAATCATTACTACCCCAAGATCCTTGACTGTTTTTACAGGTTCAACTTCGAAAACGCCTCACGTACTTACAGCTACCAACTGATCCTGTGCCTTGGACAATAACTTAAACTTGCTCGCATTCAGCACCAAGTCCCACTTATTTGACCAATTTCCCTCGCTAAGTTAGGCCTGCCAAATGATCCCACCACCTTCACGTCATCTGCGAAGACGAAGCAATCTGAGTTCTTTAACCCTGCTAAGTTATTGATGAACAAAAGGAAGAGTAGCGGTCCGAGAACCGAACCTTGAGGCACTCCACTGGTCAATCGAATAACCTGAAAACTGGCCTTCCTTACCCTATTCTATTTATGAGAAAAGCGGTTAACCATCTATGCAGATTGCCTTCCAGCCCAAAGCTTCTGATTTTGTGAAGAAGCAATCTGTGGTTCACAGGGTCGAAACCTTTGCTAAAATCGGGGTAGAAAACCTCAATGGTGAGGCCCTCACCTGGCTTTTCTGTGACTTCGTCCAGGTAGCACAGAAGGTTGGTGAAACAGGATCTATGCTTTAAGAATCCATGCTGCGCCCCTCTTAGTAGGGTATAACGCAATAGATGCTTACATACGTGCTCCCTACTCAGATTTTTCGTGCATTTGCAAAGGATGCTGGTTAGGCTTAATGGTCTGTAGTTTCTTATGTCGGAATTCTACCCACCCTTGTGTATAGCTACCACAGTAGCTGTCTTCCAATCACTAGTTTGAAATCCTTCCGCTAGTGATACTTGGAAGAGCAGGCTCACCGGTGTAGTGAGGACATCAGCTAATGGTTTAGGGATAGCTGGATGAATCCCGTCTGGTCCGGGCGCTTTGTTTAAGTTAAGTTCTCCCAGTACCTTGCGCATAGCCTCTGGTGTCACGATTGGTTCCTCCATAGACAGTATCTGTTGACCTCCTCCAGGCGAAATAGCCAACCCTCCGTCCTCCTTGAGCACACTACCAAAGTATCTCCCCAGTACTATGGTCCTATACTAGTCAGTTGTGGCAATGATGTCACCTTCTAGGTTAAGGGCACCTATTGCATCCTTAAGCATCTTCTTTGACTTCACGTAACTTTTTGGGCTTTGCCTTTGCATTTTTAGCTAGATTTAGCTCATAGTTGCGCTTCGCGCTTCGAACAATGAGAACAGCCTCGTTTCTGTATTCTATGTTACGCGACCCTACCTCCCGATCGTTGCCAGCTGGCATTACGACGACGTATTGCCTTACCAATGGAAGCCTTACATCAAGGTGACTTACCGAGAGACCTCCATAGTATCAGAGGTGCGAATTCATCCTGCAATGCAAGTAAGTTCTCCTTAATTATTTTTCACACACCTTCCACTACATACCTGTCATCGGCTTGCTGCCAGACGAACTCAGATGCTTTCCCTTGCAGTCCGCTTATGTCTAATTTTCCGAAGTAACACAGTATGTATCCAGTTTTGTGTTCAGTTTTGCAAAGAACTCTTGCGGTATTAAAATTGAATATTGACGGTCTTCTAGTTAGGTGTTCAGACCCGCTGAGAAAGTAGTACAAATGCGCACCTTGCCATTGAGGTTTTTGGCGACCACAATAAAAGCTGCCCATGATGAGTAAAGGACCGGCTTGATGACATCAGATTGTTGCAATCGATCTAGTTCAGCGTTGACTGATTCGATGGCGGCGTAGGGTACCAGGCGTTTGGACTTAAACACTGGCTCGGAATCTGGTTTCAGTGAAAGTGAGGTACGGAACTTTATGCAATGACCAAAGCCTTCCTGGAATACAGATGAAGATTTCTGTTTCAGCGATGGTATCATGTTTACAATCGAGGATGAATAACTGTTCTGCATTCGGACTTGCTGGCATACTTTGTTCATGGGAACATCGAGACCAAGGAGATTCAGGTTCGGTCGATCGGTCAGATAACATGTTCCTTTATGCCTCGGAACGAAATGTTACAGTTGATTTCACCAGTCAGTCTCAGCTCACCTCCTGAAGTATTTTCCGATCTTTTGGTGAATGGAATAACTTTTGGCTTCCCGATGCGGTTCCATGTGCCTCTGGAGATTAGAGTGATGTCTGAGGCTGTGTCCAACTGCAGTTTGGCTGGTTTACCATTGATGAGCATAGTAAAGAATTTTGACTTTGGCTGGCAATCTGGTTAAAAACCGCAACAATTAAGCATGCTTCTGAGAATTGTTTGTCGGACTTTCTGTGAACCTCTTGCTTCTGCTTGGTTTGAGTGTATTTGGTTGACCAGCAGCATTCTTCCTTATGACCCCGTTTATTACAATTTTGACAAATGTGCTTTTTGAATGGATAAAAACGTACAAAATGTAATTTGTCACACTAACAACAGGCAGAGGGCGGTGTACTTGTGGGGCGTTTCACGGATTTGAAGTTTTTCACAGCTGGCTGATTCTTTGGGCAATGCATTGAATGAACGTCACTTATGGAAGTCTTCTGTGCGATTAGCGCAGTGTCATGTTTCGGGGAGCGAAGATGTTTGCACCCGTCCATGAGAGAATTCAGGTTCATATCCGGGTCTTGATCCAGTCTGGCTAGTTAACGGGTACATATGTCGGCATCTTCTGGATTCTGCAGTGCTCGGATGAAAATGAGGCACTTGAATTGGTTATCCGTCAATGAGCGAAGTTTGAAACGTTCACACTCACGACAAACTGGGAGAAAACTGTCAACAAGGATCCGTGAACACCAATCGGCAGTCAGGAGGCATGACCCACCATCGTTGATTTCCCTCCACGAAAATCAAGAAGGACATCAATTTGACTTCGAATCAGTGAGAATTATCGACCAAGCCCGGTCAAAACACGCCAGAGAATTTCTCGAGGCCTGGCACTCTTCAATCAACTCAGTAAACAGGCACATCGAACTGGATCACGTGCACACGCCAATGCAACTGAATGCAACTGAATGCAATTGACCCAACAAAGGTCACACCGTGACCTGAGAACGGACGGAAACCGCAATCGGGACGAAAGGACAACTTCCTCCCCTCCCACCCCCACCCGCTCGCAACAGTTCAACGGCGGACCGAGTCGAACACAGTGAGAACAGGGGACGAAAATAGCCGGTGGAGAAGAACGCATATATAAACGAACGGGTACAGACAGAACACTGCCACTTCACAAGTACTGATGATGTCACTTCGGCTGGTGATGGAACGTTTGCAAACAAATTGCCAAGCTCGGCGAACAGGCGAAATGGAGTACTTCATCATTGGCAGATTCAGTGATCATTGAAAATTGATTGGAGGGCAGGCTATGCGACATTATTTCCCAGGGTCCTCAATGGGGACGGGAGGCATCTTGACCAGTTTGGCAATGTCTGGAATTTTTACACTCGCCAGAAACTCTTTGAACCGATAATGTGTCCTCACATACCTCAATTACGGGTGATAATTCATCCGGACGAGAGGCTTTGTTTATCCTTATTTTCCCTAGATGTCACAGGACCATCGAGGGTTCGATAGTTCTTAGTAGCGTATAACTGTCGGAGTCTGGCAGAGTTGTACATTTCTATGCTGAGCTAAGCTCGCAAGTGAGTGTTTCAATATCGAAATTTTCCCTTTTTTTATTAATTGTTACTGCCACACAGGTGTTTTATAGCTCTCCATGTGCTACCATATCTGTGTACGGTATCTATGCAGAAT